GCTATACAATTCACAGACTCTTTTCATATTCTCTCTTCGTCAACGCCAGTGCGAAGTAAGGGAATCGCCCTCGACTGACAGACGTTGGAGAGAGTACACCCTTAATGAAGAGGACCTCCGCATTCACGGCTACCTCATAGCTGCTATCTTTTGCACTGGAAGCCACCTCTAGTATACTATATGCATCCGGAACCGCGCTCCAGAGCTCCAAAAAACAAGAGCTTTCGATGGAAAGCACACTCCGCAGAACTATACCACGACCATCGTACCGTACTTGGCTAAACAAAACATCATGGCATCTCACTTGGCCTGCATCTTCTTGTAGGACAAATAAATCGTTGCAGACCGCCCCCAGAATCGAGCCGCCCGGAAAATCTGTGCGCCTTCCGCCCTCTCTGTTACTTCGTGGTCCTCCGCGGCCAACCCCTCCGCTACGGTAAGCGCCACTCGCTGCGCAGACAACAATCGGCAGATAGACGTACAAGAGCGAATGGGTGTTGCGGGTACATCCATACACACAGTTGACCTTTTTGCTCAGCTTTCAGTATACGATTCACGGGGGCTTGTCGGCAGCATCGCTTGGACGAAAGCTGAATATGCGCCCACGCAGAAAATCACCGTTGGGATACAACAGCGGGCTAAATAGAGAGTGAACGCTGCTCGACCCAGCGCGATTCCTTGTGCGCGACTCATGAAGTATCGCGGACGACCAGCTGCGCGGACGATCAGATCGCTTACAACCAATCTATTTTACTTGGATGTGACCGCTCTTACGGCGAGTGACCGCTCGTACGGCGAGTACTGCTGTACTCACTACAGAGACAGCACACACAGAGCAGCGGTTCATTGAGTTTATTTTATCGACGTGGAAAGGTCCATAATGGTAGTGGAATCCTACAGCAGTACAATAGGCTACTTGTGAAATGCCCCCCACCTTGCGGCGGTCCTGCAGAGCCTTCCGCCAAGATATATGAGCCAGGGGAAATCTCGGCATCTTGAGCAGCAGCCCTCCTCTCGTGTGTTTTACGTATTTACTCCCTGCCCTGCTGCTGCTGCTTCTCATACCTTTCTCCTTATCGACAGTAACATTTGAGTCGGCAACCACGACCGCCACGCTGCGACGGGGCCGCCCTCCCCACGGTCGAGAACCGACGGCGCTTGCTCGTGAAACCGAGAGCAAGCACGCAACTGCCAACATGGCGAGCCAGCCCGTCCTGCGGAGATGAACACCGCCCTGTGATAGCCCATTCGTGAATCTCTTGGCAACTTGGAGAAAAAAGGTCGCTAGGCTGTACGTCATTGAGCTTGCAGGCGATGGAGCTGTCGAGACGGCGATGGTTCTGCTGTCGCTGCTGTCGCTGCTGGTGCTCTCGATGGCGCTCGTGCTGTCGCCGCCGCCGCTCGTGAAACGGTCACGTAACTCGCGAAGAAAAGAACTCGGTGTGGAGGATGTTTGAGGCACCTGCTCGCCGCTGAGTCGTACTACTGATGCAAGAATACCGATGCCAACTCCTGGCTCTCTTGAGGACGCTGCTGCTGGGTGTGTCCCACTCCTCGTAGCAGTAGTGCTGCTGGGGCTACCGGCGGTGGCGGTAGTGGCAACGAGAACTTGCTGGAGATTGGCCGATGATACGACCTTGGTCACAGCCAGTAGAGCTAGAATTGTTTTCATACGTGCCGCCCCAGAACCCTCGAGTGGCCACCGGTTGCGCCTCTGTGCAGGGCGACGAGGGAGAAAACCGAGAGCAATAACATAAACATGCACTGCTTGGTCTGTGTGTTGCCTATGTTGCAGTAGCGGGCGGGCCCACCACCTTACGGGGGGGACGCAATATCCACCGTACTGAACCACACCTTCCCATTCCTCAAAAAGCCAGATTTTCCTCCGCGGGGACTTTTCAAAAATAAAGATCATAATCATTTATTTGTAGAGTTGTGAATCGGTACGAAAAAACGATATATTTTACATCGGCTGCGCAGCAGCCGATATAACGATATTTTCTCCGATATATCGCCGTAGGCGATATATCGGAGAAAATATCGGGCGAGCGCAGCGAGCCGTGATGGGGGCGAGCGAAGCGAGCCCCCCCATCGGCCCCCCCCGGCTGGTGAGGGGGCCTCGCCGGAGGCGCCGCCGGAGGCAGAAAATTTGGTGCATTTTCCTTTCATTTCCCGTCAAAATGGGCCCAAATGCGGCATCAAAAAGGGCTTGACTTCAGCTGCAAACATCGCACGGAATGTAGAAAAAAAAAAAAAAGATTAAGATTGATGTATTGTCGCGTATCCTCAGCAGTACCCTCCTTCGGTCTCTCCCTGTGTCTACTTCCCGGTTGGTTCTGGACATGGTGCTGTTGTCTGCTGTTTCTGCGCTGCTGTGCTGTGTGTGTGTGGCGTACAGGGGCTTCGTACTGCTGCGCATACCCTAAATTTGATTCACGGAGCCCCTAAGAAAACATCGGTCGGAACATCGGCACGAATTTTCGATACCGATATCGATATATATCGGACGATATATATCGTGTACATCGTTCCGATTCACAACTCTATTTATTTGTCATCAGATTCAGTCTTTCTGGTGCGTGTGTTTACTTTTCCTTCATGATCAGGCGATGATGATGGGTGATCAGGCCTACGCATCTCCTACCTATGTATATGGACTACCGCATAAGTACAGAAGAGACACCGCATATATAGACGCCTTGTATTTTGAGCAAGATTTGAAGCCTCACTGATATCTTCATTGTTTTCATCCATCTTTCTAGTCTGGTCTATATAGTCCATTATATATAGTCCATCTAGTGCAGCAGTGTTAAAGTTTGGGAATTGGGCGCGGGCAAGTCAGTTGCTTCACTCCAGCCCAAGCAAAATGGGCATATCCTTGTGGTATCCTCATCGTGGAAAACGACGTCCCCGGCTGGCAGCTCCACCGAGCGGGTCAGGAACGCTGTATCGCCTGTTTCAAACTCGTACACCCATAGACTACCCCCGGTCGCCCCGGTGGTCCAGTCTTCTAGTTGGTACCCTCGAAACCTTCTAGAAGTCAGGTCAGGGGCTCGAATCCCGGCGTAAGCGAGCTTTTCTTGCAAAGTGAGCTTTTCTCTCGCTTCCGTTCTTCTAGTGGATAGCGCTAGTTCGTGTGTGTACACAGAGGGAAGAGAGTGCTGAACTCTTCTCGCATTAATAGTCGAAGGCAAAGTACCGCAGTAGGGAGAGTAGAGGGGGGCTCTTCTGTTTGAAGACCACGGGTTGGGGTAAACGGCACCTGTGCTGTGAGCACTGATTTGAAGTGAAGACAAAAAAAAAAATGGCTCCAGCAGCAGTCAATGCTCCGTCTTCAGCAACGACGGCCGGACTGCCCAAACAAAGTCACCGAGACGTTCGTGTAAGATAAAGTTACACCATTAATTAGACTAGTCAGCGCTGATTGGTAGTCTATCTAATAATAATGGGGTAAAAAAAGCCTTTCTAATAACAAGGGATACACTCTCGGCTAGTCATCGCTGACTTGTCTAGTGGTTTAACATTTGGCGAATAAGGATTCACGCACGGGTTCAGAACCCGACTGGTCACTTTCCCAAGCACCATTAAGTTCTTTTCAGGCAGCGTCTGGCGAGGGGTCCGTCCCCGGAGATCTCTACTCACGTAGCCAAAAATTACATGTATGTGATCTAGGCGGGTGCAAATGAGGTCTGAACATATCCTTTCTTTATAAGGTAAAATTACACCATTAGAAAAGTCAGCGCTGACTAGTCTAATGGTTTGACCATTGGAGCTGAAGGATGCACCCACGGGTTCGATTTCCGGTTGATCTCTTTCCCAAGCACCATGAAATTATTTTCATTCAGGCAGCGTCTGGCGAGGGGTCCGTCCCCGGAGATATCTACTCACGTACAACAAGGTTTTCGCACGATTGAGAGCGAAGTTTCCGATTGAGAGCGAGAATATTCGGAATTCGGGTCCAGACGCCTCCCGTCATTTATTTCTCGGGAAGCAGGGGACGGGCTCTTCCAAAAAGCGGCGCAAATTGAAGCTCTCTTCAGCAGCTTCGCGTGCATAGTGCATATGCGTGTTGATCGGCTGCAGCAGCGAGGAGCTACGCACGTTGCTAGATTTCCCCAGATTGGCTATTCCTGCCCGAAACTGTTTCAGGGCGCCATCGCCTGGCGCGCTAGGCCCTCCCTTAGCTTCTGCTTCGCGATGTAGCTCCACAACGCGAGACACCCGCAGGATGACCCGGGTATCGGCTTGTAGCTATGGGCAAGCCCTTCAATTCAAGCCGCACAGCAAGCTCTACCTCTCAGCAGTAGACAAGCTACATCGTATCGCACGATCTCGCTCTCAATCAGATACTTCGCTCTCAATCGTGCGAATATGTTGTTGAACCCGAAAATGTATGTGATCCAGCCGGGTGCAAATGAGAGTATATCTTTTGTAAGATAAAGTTTCACCATTAAGAGCGCTGGCTTAGTCTACTGGGGTAGGCCTTTCTAACAGTTCAGAGTAGCCAACATGTTTTCGCGGTCACAGCGGCTGAATTTACGGCGAAAGGGACGGCTCACATATTCTTCAACCAGTACTTGACCAAGTGGGGATGTCCCACTACGTTATTGTCGGACAACGGGCTGCACTTTTGTTTGCTTGAAGCCCTCCAGCAAATGAGCTCTGAGCATATCTTTTGTAAGATAAAGTTTCACCATTAAGAGCGCCGGCTTAGTAGTCTAATGGGGTAAGCCTTTCTAGCCGTTCGGAGTAGCCAACATGTTTTCGCGGTCACAGCGGCTGAATATACGGCGAAAGGGACGGCTCACATATTCTTCAACAACCAGTACATGACCAAGTGGGGATGTCCGACTACGTTATTGTCAGACAACGGGCTGCACTTTTGCTTGAAGCCCTCCATGGCTGGCTATCTTTACAGGCGATGAAAATGAAGAAAGACACCACCAGCTCCTTCCTACCACCCGCAGACCAATGGAGACACGGAACGCGTCAATCACACGATGGGACAGATGCTTGCGGTGGTGGTCAACGAACAGCAAAACGATTGGGACGTGCATCTCCCGCCCGTAGAGTTCGCCTACAACAATTCCGTGAACCAGTCCACTGGGTTTGCGCCAAAGGAGATCCACATCGGGCGCATCCCGCGACTTCCGCTTTCGGTCTTCGATCATCCCACGGTCGGTGGTCATTAAAGCTTTGCCGTCAACCAACTCGAGTATTGCAACCTGGCTGTCGATCGCTAGCGCCGGGCCTACGATCTTGTCCGCGAGTACAACGCTCTGAAGACTTCGCGAGTCGAACGCCGCAATTCATCCCTGCTGGACGCCGTTCAGAAGCTCCCTCAGTTTACCGTTGGCGGGTGGGCTTGGGTGCACAACACGGCTGCTACGATTCGGCAGGGTGTGCGGAAGGACACCGACCAACAGGTGCTCAAGGCCAAATTCGCGCTTTCCTGGAGGGGGCCTTACAAAGTTCTTGCGGTGAGTCCCACTTCTTCTGCTGAAGCCACCCCGGACGGCAGCCCGTTGGCGCCTAAACTTCTCTACCTGGACCTGCCTTCCGATCTTTCCGGCCCAGCAGCTCAATGTCGCGTGTCTGTCCTTCGTTGCAAGCCCTGTCGCAATCCGCACGAGACGGACGAGTTGCCACAACCTCTTCCCACCGATCTTTCGCGTTATGTCCTGCACTCTCTCGGAGATTAATGTCCACCGTTCCACGTCACCGCGGATGATGTGTCGGTGCCTGTCGGGCGCCTAGAGGTCGACTTCACCTCGGGACATCAACTGGTGCGGGGCCGTAGCGGCGTTCTCGCTGTCCTGTACCAGACGCATTGGTTAGGCCTGACTAGACTACTCCTTCATGGGGACGTGAATCCGACCTCGAGCAATCCGTCGACAAATCCTCTTGTACTGGTCCCGAGAGGTTTGCCAAAGCAAGCAGGGTAACCGAACTTACTTATCGAGTGGCTCGGACTCGCGCGGCACAGCGGGAGCTAGCCCGGAATCGTGGAGAACGCTGTTTGCCTCCTGGGGCTGATCTTGTGCTTCACGAGACTTGACTTCGTCGTTTCAGCACTTCGCCCCTCCCTGTGGGCGCGCGGCTGTGGTACAAGGGCCGCGATGGCTTGTGGTGGACCGGACGCATTGGTGCTCATCAGGGCGGCTCGTATGTCGTTTGATTCTTGGATGACCCGGGCCCAAGTGTTCTCCCTCTCTCTGCCTGCGCACCTCTACTCCCCCGCCTTGGACGCCGTCTGCAGATCACAGTGTCTAGAGAAACATCGTTCGCGCCCTTTGGGCGACACCCGACCCGTGGTCGCCTTCCGCTCATTACTGACTCTTACCGTCAGCTGTTCCCAACATTCTTCTTAGCGTCGTCGTTTTGGTAAAAACGTGATTACCTATTTTGGTCTTTTGTGCCCTCCTCGGCGTTTTGACTTTCTTTGCCTTTCGTTTTGGTTTGTTTTCTCTTGTTTATTAGTTTTTTCTTTTCTTGTCTCTTTCCGTTGGTTATTTGCTTTGTGTTTTGGGCGTTGGGGCCACACCGCGCCAAGACCAGCGGTGTCACGTGTCCGCTTTCGTCGCCCGTTACTTGAGAGCACGGCGATGGCTCCCCCCTCTCGGTCGGTTTTCCCTGTTTGTCCCTTTTTGGGCGTTGAGTGATACTTCTTCCTTGTTGCCTGCATTCGTCGGAATCAGTGAAGTGCCGCATCCTGGATGTAATTGTGTTGCTAGTGTTTTGGTTCTCCCAACGGATTTCCCCTGAATTTTCCTCGGGGTTGTTTGCCTCTGAACACTTGGAAAAAGAGTTCCCCAAGTTTCGTCGGTGTTTTTTTGCCTCTGAACACTTGGAAACAGAGTTCCCCGACTCTCCTGGTTCGCCTTTTGCCAATTAAGGTGTGCCTCTTTTAGCTCCATCGTGCCGCAGAAGTGCCGCCTACGCTTATTACTTTGGGGTTCCATACCGTTGCGTCGCCTTCTCTCGTGGCCTTTGTCGACGCTCGTCGTCATCCACACTTTGTTCTACTTTGTCTCCATCATCGCCACCTTCGGGCGAAGCCTTCATCACCGTCGAGCTCCTGAGTCGTTGTATGGTTGTGCGTATCTCTACGAGTTTTCTGTGTTTGATGTCTTTGTATGTTGTGTATCGCCAGCGAGACATGGCGCGGTTCGTCAAACCGCTTCTCCGGCATTAATCGTTCGTGTTTTGCGTCATTGGTTCTCTTTAGGTCTTGCCTTTGCAGTCTCTTTATACGATTTGGGTACCCTGGCACGATGGAAATCATTCTCGGTGCCCTTGCCCGTCGTTCATCTCTTCAGCCCTACCTTGACGTTCTCAAAGATTGCGTTGAGTTTCCCTTTTCGTCACGTTCAGTATCTCAGGCCGTTTTCGTTCGGAAATTTGTTTGGGTATTGAGTTTTGTTGACGTAATTTTGACTCTCTCGTGTTGTCACCCTCATTCCTCCAGTTGTGACACGCGCGGGTGCGCGTAAAAGAGTGGTGTGTGGCGTTTGGATTTGGATTTTGTTTTCTCTGTCGTCGTCTGTTGGGAGTAGCGTGCTCTGCAGCAATATTCTTCCTAGCTTCATCCCCTCATTGGTATGAGCGTCGTCATTGAGACGTCGTGTGTCGTCTCGTGACCGTCCGCATCCTTAAGTAGTCTCAATGGTGGTGTGGGGGGTAGATTCGGGATATTTCTACAACTCACCCTCCTTTTGGATGTTTTGTGAAAAGTCATATCTTCGATTCAGGGTCATAAATCATCAGCTAAATCTTATTGTAGCTTCTAGGATTTGAGTATAGAATCTGCACATATGATATTCAGGGTGGGCTAGTCTTAAGGAGTGTGGCTGCTAGCATGAATAGGGTACATGTTATTCTTGATAGGATGTGGATTGGTCAGAAGGTATTCCTTCTTGGACCCGTACACCCTTAGAATTGTCTACTCTGTGTGCCCCTTGAGATGAAGTTGCATCCCCACTTCATCTCAGGCCCTTGCTGACCTCCGTCAGGAGTAACAAGCAACTTTCCCATCTCTACATGGTCGTGGACAAGAGCGTCAACGACAGAACCTTAATCTATCGAGGAGCAAGCTACCGTCTACGGCTTCATCTCCTTTACATGTGTGTGCCAACAATGCATTATTTTTTTACCGATCTCGTTCTCTACGTACCTTCATGTATACATCTTCATGCACACATATCCCCATCTTCCCGGCGGGTGGCGGGAACGACCCGTCGGTCCTCCTCCGGTCGTCATCTCTACTCTCTTTCTTCGAGTCGATTATTTGAACATACATGCATGTGAAATACGACCCCTGCCTGGTGTTCATACGGGAGGAGATTCCAGTTGTGGTGTGCGAGATAAAAGGAGGCGGGGTACGTATGTACGTAGACAATGAGGTAGTATAATAGGCAGAGTAAAAAGGACCCACACACAACAAAAAGAAAAAAGTGTCGGTTTTTTGTGAAATGGTTGTAGGGGGGGGGTTACTCACCCCAGTGTAATGGTTTAGACATGCGTAGCAATCCCTGAAGACCATGGTGAAGACTCACTTGTTGATGCATCTCTTTGGATAGCAGTGCATGCTGATTGCTTGCTCTCTGTGGTAGACTGAGCATGTGGGGGCAGACCAGCTCCCTCTAACTGGGGCTACAAAGGTCCTGTCCCCTGCTTTATCCTTCGATCGGGAGTTTCATCTTCTGCACTTTCCTCTGGGCATTAGCCCGCACTACTGTTGGTACTTTCCTACACATTCAAATCCCATAACACTAGCCCACCCTGGATATAACACCAGGTAATACGTGCAAATGACTTGTCAACATGTATTGCGTGTGTAGGGATGAGGTGGCACATCCTCACCCACCCCTGACTTCTACGCCGCCGATGATATTTAACGTATGTACACACTTATAACCCCCATAGACTAATATTATTCGTTCGCTTTTGGAGCCTACTGCGGTGGGGAGTGTTGCCAGTCAGTGTGCCGAGACAGACAAGGGCGATTGGATACATCAATAGGTTGGAGTCACACGTTGTATCACCGGAAACTAACTCGACGTAGGGTGACTGCCTCCTCGTGAGCGCGGTCTTCTTGTGATGTCGGGGGGGCGGGGGGGGGGGG